AATAGTTTATTATAATATAGAAAGATCACATGTTACAGATACACATTGCACATATATATTATCTTATTTTCTAAATTGTTATAGAATAATTGCAGTAGTTAGTAGTAGTAAATATAAAATTGAATATTTTTCACATACATGTTGTACATCGACTGTATTAAAAACTGGACATTATTAACTGTGTAAAATAACATACAATAATAATAATAATAATAATAATAATAATAATAATAATAATAAATGATCATAATAAAAGATATAAACATGCAAGATAATAAATGCTGGAAATGTAAATTAGTAGCCAATACAATAGAACACATAACAGGGGGTTATAAAATACTAGCAAACATCTAATGTATAGAAWGATACAACATGGCAGCAAAAATCATACATAAMACAATAGTGAAMAAATAACATCACACAGAAATACATAGAAAAAATAGAAAAATACACAGAATATGGAAACAAAAAAAGGTTGACATCATTCGTTTCATCATATCAGCAACAGGCATCACACCGAATTAATTTAAAATCACATCTCACGCAACTACAACCAGACCCAAGAAATACAAAAGGCGGTTACATTAAAAACATGAAACATWACCAGAGCCTTCCTAAATTCAGGAGATTAAAACTGTCATACCTGGCAAGAGTTCTGTCTGATATGCTAATATGCCTCGAGAAATCGGTGAGAAATAATAAAATAAAATAATAATAATATCTATGRAAAATATTGTCTGAGTTGCTCTTCCTTTTCTCTTAATAATTGTTTAAGATAAATAATTTTCTCTTCACTTGTTCTTTYGACTTCTATTATACTCACTAATAATAATTTGTTTCGTATTAYATCTATTTCATTTTGTATAGTCTCATGAGATAATCTTATATTATCAGGCATAWARATCTGATKATTATTATGGACATAATTTTTAAGGTGTATTTTTAAAACCATTTCCTTTTCCTTCTGGTTAAGATTATTATTWTCTATAATATCGARTATTTTAKCAAGGTTATAGTGAKTATCCACATTTTTAGAAATGGARGGGTTATATGCCCGATTAGCCAGAATTATATCTCGTGGAAATTTCGGTACTTGCATCAACATAATWATCCCATACATACACAGCATGTAATCAACTCTTCGTTCAAGAAATTGAATACTCAAAAATCTTTGAGTACAACAAATTCCTATTATTTCATTTTTATTTTCATTTTCATTTTCATTTTCATTTTCATCTTGATTTTCATCTTGATTTTCATCTTGATTTTCATCTGCACCTTCATCTTCATCTTCATCTTCATCTTCATCTTCATCTTCATCTTCATCTTCACTTTCATTATCTTCATCTTCATCTTCACCTTCATAATCTTCACTATCACTTTCACTTTCAGAACTTTCAACTTCACAATCGCAACCTTCATCTTCACTTTCCTCTCCATCTTCACTTTCCTCTTCATATTCATAAAAGTCTAATGGTTCACCTTCATCTTCATAAATGTCTAATGGTTCACCTTCACCTTCATGTTCATAACCTTCATCTTCATTTTCCTCTTCATCTTCAGACATGTCTAATGGTTCACCTCCACGTTCATGTACACAAAAATAAAAATCATATTCGGAACCTTCATCTTCACTTTCATTATCTTCATCTTCATCTTCATATTCATCTTCACCTTCATAATCTTCACCTTTACTTTCCTCTTCATCTTCATAAATGTCTAATGGTTCATCTTCACTTTCCTCTTCATCTTCATCTTCATAAATGTCTAATGGTTCCATTTGCTCTTGAAATTCATTATTTTCGAATAAATTTCTTATTCTATAATATACATCATCATCATCATCATTTTCTTCTTCTTCTACTTGGTAATTATCCAAGTCGTGATAATTTGCTTTCTTGTCATCACATTTATAATTGATAAATTTATTGTTTACAGGAAATCTGTTGATTCTTCGATCAACGACTTTAACGATGTGTAACACTGATTCGTTGGTATTACCGTTAAGGGGAGAATCCCACTGAAAATTTGTCGAAACCAATTCCATAAGTAATCTTCCGCTTATAATGTTTTTAGTGGCGTTGCACAGTGTGTAATTTGAACCTGATGATCTATACTCCGCGATTACTTCATAGGGAGGAACAAATAAAGTTAAATTGTCTTTATAAAATACAGTGCAAACCGTGTTGCACATTGGTGCTGACAATGAAATTCTTCTATAGCTACCCGTACTTTCATCAAATATTAATGGATGAATTTTTAATGGCAACTTTGAAGATTTAAAAAATGTTGTATCATTGTACCATGGAAAGATATCAGTTTCGTTTCTACCTTCTACATCGATGAGTTTTCTTACTTTACGGAAACATTCATCGTCTTTTTCTGCTACATCGTCTAGATAATCTTTGTCAAACCACATTTTTATCTCTTTTTATCACTGTTAATTCTTTCGTTAATATACGATTTTACGTTTTTCTTCTTATTTCACTGATATCGAGAAAAAATACAACAACTTTGTAATCAACTGTAGTGGTTATGTTGAATACAATAATTAGGTAAAAAATCAGAAAGAAAAAAAATACTTTGTCTTACGGAGCTTTCCAGATTACGTAATACTTCAGAAATTGTAGCTATTTCTACACTAACTATTCAAAATCTAAGAACTGAATAAGAGAAATTGGAAAAGACCGAATTTATACCCCAGAAGTGCTAAGGAGAGGGGACTTAAATGACACTAAAGCATTAGGGAAAGGGAAGGAGACGATCACGTGCTTTGGTAATAATGCTAAGGATATCTCGATTCATAATTTATTATAATTTATTTATGATTATTTTATTCGTAATATTTGTTTGATGATTGTCATACACGAAANTTTTTTTTTTTTTTTAAATCTTTTTTTCTTCTTCCTTCTTCACGAATGAGATGTACAATGTAAAACGTTCGAAAGAGTTTGAGATATTTACGTAGATAAATAGATAGATAGTAGAACAAAGTAGATAAGTAAAAATATATATAGTATAACTTAATAACACCTCACATATCACACATCTTATTTCGATTTCAATGATTTATTCATCTCTCTCTATCTCTCTCTACAACAATAACAATAATAATAATAATAATAATCAAAACAGAAAGCAAGAGAACAAAAAAATAGAAAAACAGATAAAAGATAAACAAAAAATGATAGATACAAATTATTAAAACGAAGATAAAACGTTGAAACGAATTTCTATTAAAAAAAAAAAAAAACCCGTGGATTTAAGAAAAACAAAATAAAAATAAATCAAATAAAAATTGAAAAAAGTACGAAATAGAAAATCAAAAGAATATTCATAAAGAGCTAGATAAAGAGAGAGAGAGAGAGAGAGTTTAAGAAACAGAAAGAGAGATAGAGAGAGAGAGAGAAAAAAAAGAGATTTCACAAAATTTTCGTTGAAGGATTTGTTTTTTTTATTTTTCTCTTGTGTTCGCGCACGAATTTGGTTTCGTCGTCGGACGACGAACGACGAATAACGAAAAACGAAAATGAACGGGTTTATGTGTCTGTCTATGTGTGTGTGTCTGTGTGTACCAAAAGCGAAGAGAAATTAGAAACGCAACGGGAGCTTCTCACGTTTCACGTTCGCGAGTAAGCGCGCGCGCGCGCGCTCACCACGTACCGCACACGTACCGCACACGTACCGCACCGCACCGTACCGTAACGCAACGCAACGCAACGCAACGCACCGCACACGTTGCACTGCACGCAGCACTCGCACTAACGCGCACGCACGATTCTAAAATTTGTTATTTTTATACGAGAGAAAGAGAGAGACAGAGGGAGACCGAGAGAGTGAAAATGAGAAAGAGAGAGAGTGAGATAGATGAGGATTAGAAAAAAAAAAAATATTTTTTTTTTTATTTTTAATTCGACGACACGCGACGCGAATCCTCTCTGTTCAAGGGTCAACACGATACTGCGAGAAAAGCGCCGCGTTTGCCCGCTCTCGTTTACCGAACTTACCCACCACCCTATTACATCCCAACCCAACTACCACCCACCCCCCACCTCACTACTTCTACACTGACAACCCATCGCGCATGTCATTGGCCCCGTACGCGCCGTAAACTCGCGCCGCGCGCAATTGGTTAAGATCAAACGACTCACTATTTTTTAGATATTATTTTATTTTTATTATTCTTAAGTCTATTATTATTATTATTATTATTATTATTATTATTATTATTATTAATATTAGTATTATTATTAGGTAAAATATTGATACGTAATATTGATTGATTTATATTGTAGCATTTATTTTATTTTAATTAAAATTAAATTTTAATTAAATTTAATATTATTATTATTACATAAATATATTATCTTAAATATTTTTATATCATTGATTTTTATATTATTGATATATATTTAATATTAATTAACACTTTGTTGACTGGCTATTTTTTTTTTAAATTTATCTCATGTCATCAGCTATTACTACGTAATTGAATTGAAACGTAAAACAATATAAATAATTTTTAATAAATTCTTTCTTATTATTAGACTTTAAATATTTCTTCTTTGTATGATAAACAATATAACAATAGTAGAAAAAAATCTGTTATTATTATAATATTTATTTTCGCTACGTTGTCCTTTTAAATAGCGTCGTGCGAAGAAAAAGCGCATCACGAGTTAACTCGTGATCGGTCAGCAACTTTCGACCATAGAAACACGAGTTAAATATAAATATTGATAATATTATCTCGTATCGTTTGTTTAGTTTGTTAATAGGTTAATTCATTTTTAACGAAGAATAATTTTTTATTAAATTATATATCAATTATTTTATTATTTTTTTAATTACATATATATATACTTTACGTGTATTAGTCTCTTGTACGTGTACAAAAGAAATGTAATTTACGACGACTTTGTAAAAGGAAAGAGGAACAAAGAACAAAAAAAAGAACATACGACATATAAAAGGGTTTCAAACTAATTGTTAATTATGTGTGTATGTGTGTGTGTGTGTGTGTGTGTGTATTCCTCGGTGGCATTGCAGGTCGTCGCGTTGCAAAGTGAGTTACTTTTCGTGCGTGAGTTGTTACTTAACTGTAACTTTGCATACGTATTTACAAGTATATTAAATATGTACATGTGATCCTATATATACATCAAAATCTTTTCTAACATTAGATATAAATGAAAATATAAGAGTTACCTTAAGAAAAACGATTTAGAAAATAACAAGAGATATCACTTTGATACCTGTTTACAATAATTCAATTCCTTCAATTAATTTAACATTTCAAACGCACGTGTTCTTTTAGTAAAGGAAATACAAGTGCTGCCATCTTCTAGGGAGGAACTGGTATTCTAGTTCTTTTCAAACAAAAATAAAAAAAGTTGCTTTTATTGCGATAATTACAAAACTTTCGTTTACGACAACCATCAAACAAATATTAAGAATAAAATAAACATAAATAAATTAGAAATAATTATGAATCGAAACAAGGATGTTTATGATTAGGATATCATTATTACCAAATTATTACCAAAGCACGTGATCGTTTTCTTCCATTTTYCTAATATTTTAGTGTAAATAACTTCYKCTCCTTAGTACTTACAASGTACATATTCGACCCTTTYCAATCCCTCTGATTCAGTTCTTAGTTGATCAGCTACCCATCTTTAGAAATTGCTACMACTTCTGAAGTACTACTTAGTCTAGTGAGTTTCATASGACAAATTTGTAATAACAARAAGAAAAACGCGAGATCTTCTSAAAAGAATTTAAGATTAATTTAATTCAGAAAAAAAAGTTAAAAAAATTATATCTGACAATAATTCATCTCGCAAATATGGACACAAAGGAGATGCCTTCATCTAGTAATAGTGGAACATGTACCTGTGTTATGTACGAATTTCGTACATATAACGACGGTACAAACGTTTCAGAAGTGGATTCATTTAGTTATAAGTCACTGTGCATGATTTTTTATCTAAACGTATGTGACACTATTTT